GACCAAGTGTTTAAAGAGCTTTTCAAACATTACTAGGTCTTCAGGAGCCTTCTCAATTGAAGGATAGCTATCAATTGTCCCATTTTGCAGATGTGTAACCAGAGAGTGACAAAGGGTTGAGACCGTGCTTGAAGCCACATGGTAAGAATGTTAGAAGAAGTCTCCTAAGTTTCCTGATATTCTTTGTGCTGCCTTTTTTCATTTTGTTTCTTTTTTTTGTTTGTTTCTATTTTTAAAAAATTATTTTCTTCTGGTTTTACTGATATAATTGACATAGCTGTGTAGGTTTTAAGGTGTACAGTATAATGGTTTTACTTACACGATGAAATAACTACCACATTAAGTGTAGTGAACATCCATCTACCTCATTTAGATATAAAATCAAATAAATGGAAAAATATCTTTTTTCCTTGTGATGAGAACTCAGAATTTACTCTCTTGGCAACTTTCATATATAATATACAGTAGTATTAATTATATTTACCATGTACATTACATCCCTAGTACTTAGTTTTAACTATAAAACTTTGTACCTTTTGACGAATTTCATCCAATTCCCCCCTGCCCCCCTCCCCCAAAGCAGCCTCCCTGCAGTCCCTCCCCTTCTTCATGCTGAGGGGCCCAGAGCCCACCACTGCCTTCCAAACCACATGCTGGGAAAAAAAGGGGTGTCAAAGAACAGCAGGGCCAATGAAGACAAGACTGCTCCAGCACCAGTACTCATACAGCCTGAATGAGCCCTCTCAATTATAAATCAAATCCGTTCACTTCACCATTTAAAATCTTCCAGTGGATTTTCATTACACTTGGAGTAAAACCCAATTTCCTTACCAGATCGAACAGGACCCTCGCTCCTGCCACTTGCTCAGATCTTCCTCGAATCACCTCAGCCACACTGGCCTTATTTCTTATCCTCAGACCCATCTCAGGTGCTTTGTACACACTGCTCCTTCCCCTCCTACTTTGGGGCCTTCCCAAAATGCTGAAGGGCTGTCTTCTTAACATTTAAGTATCAGCTCAAATGCTACCTCTTCTGAGAAGCCGTCCCCAACCACTCCAGTCAAAAGCTAAGCCACATCCTCACCTCTGCTCTCTCGACTACACTATCCTGTATCTTTGTTGTCTTACTTCACAGCTAAACTTTCTTGTCCACTTGTATGTCTCCCCAGAACTACAATACAAGCTCCACTATTTCTGTTCATTATTACTCTCTTTGTCTAGAATAGAGATAGGCACATAGTAAGCATTCAATAAACAGGCTCTTCAAAAGGCAATGGTGTGCTCCCCTCATCTTCAAGATGGTGATTCTACTCCCTCTGCCCAAATTTCAGATTGGAAGTTTATACTTACTCATCTATTCATTCATTCACTCAATTCAAATCAACAACTAACTACTGGTCACCTGAGAAGGAACCACAGTGAATGGGGAACCAGAATGATGTGTTTCCCAATTCAAAGCAAGATTTTTTTTTTAACGTGGCACTTTACAGAGGCACTTTTAACATCTGCAAATGTGTCAGCCTTGTTTGTAGTTAACAGATTCTTCAGATTTACATGCAAGAAGTTACATGACTCCCGCAAGGTCACATGGTGAGAACTCAGCATCCCACTATCTCAAGGCAAAACCAAAGACCTAAAATGTATCTGGAAGTGCCCAATCCCTTTTATTTTCTATCCATGAATAAAAACTGGAGAATAAATACGGCTTTTCAAAAATTTCACCTCCATTTCCTTCACTTTATTTCTATCTTTCTACCTGGTAGCAGATATCAAACAATACAACACTTTGTGGAGCACTGTTCTCTGGCTATGGACCATTAATGGTACCCTAGTTGACAGGCTGAGTCTTGATGCCAAAGGGAAACAGTGGTACGGTACAGGTGCTGGGACCTCAGGCTTGTGAGTCAGAAAGCACCAGATTCAAACCACATCCACTAACAACTAGTGATAAGGCCCTAGACAAGTTTATTTTAATTTAATGAACAAACACTCATATAGCTCTTTTAGATGCAAGCAGGGTTCGAAGTACTTTGCAACCATGATTATTAGATAAATCAGATATACTATTATCCATATCTTACAGGTGAGGAAACAGGCACAGAGAGGTGAAGTAACTTACCCAAAGCCACAGCTTGTGAGTATTAGAGTCAGCATTAAAGTAAGACACTGGGATGCCAGAATCTATGCTCTCAGCCATTACACTGTGTTTCTGCTCTACTCCTATTTCTTCACCTATAAAACAGGGCTAATAAATCTGCGCTATCTCACACGGTCATGTGAGGCTACTGGCACACAGTTAAGTTAAATGTTAGCTGCTCTTAGTGGTAGTTGTAATTGCCATCACCTTTGGTCCAGTCAAGGTTCAGTCAAGGTCTGCCCAAAATACTTCAGCTGAGAAAGATCTCCAAGATCCTCTGCAGTAGAATATGTTAGAATACAGTGGAAGTTCCATGAGAACAGGAATTGTCTGCTCTTTCTGCTTCTCGTTGTATCCGGAAGAAGCAGAGGGTACTCAGTTAATACGTGGTAAATAAACTGAATGCATGGCCAGGGTTCTGTATACACGACAACTAAGGTAGTACCATCACTTCTCAAATGTAGCTAAACATGAAAGAGGTAAATGTACAGTTTTTACACGATAGTGGAAGCTGGCCATTACTTAAGACAGCCTGGCTATTAGCAGAAAGTGTGGTATAATAATGCTGGTCATTCATCTTAGCTAAATGCAGAAACAAGGAGACCAAGGCTCTCAAGGTCTTGGAGTGTCTATCTGTAAAAGAGGAAGTTGGAAGACATGATGATCATAAACAAATATATTCTTTCTCATCACCTTGTAACAATCATTATAACAATATGAATGGAAGCTGATCACCAAGTACTCAATAAATGTTTGTCAATGAACATAATCTCCAAATGACAGATGAAGAAACTGGGATTCAGTTTACAAGTTCAAGGTCGCTTGGATGGGTTAGCGTATGGTTAACAAGGGGGAGTCCAGCTCTCTTCCTACGCGTGGCTAATGCTCACACTTTCCAAGATTCTTTTTCAGTTAAAAAATACTGTGATTATCAATTCTCTCTTCCAAGCTCAATAAATCTGTAATAATTTACCTTATCAAATAACTTTGTATAACTTCACTAGATCATGTGACAGCAGGATCAAGAAGAAACAACTATTCCACATCATTAACCTGGAGAATCAAAGCATCTAAAGAGATAATTAGACCAAATACCCTGTTTCTGCCCAGAACGGAGAGACTGTAAGTATAAATAAGATATATGATGACTTCACTTTAAATGGTTTAAATTTAAGCAATGTGACTTAATAAATAACTTCTGGTAACAGAAAACTTTTTGAGGGTACAGTATATATTCTTCAAACCTGTAAGCACAGCTAGCTACTTGATGCAAAGTAGATGCACAAAGTTAAATGTGAAAAGTTGCACAGAATGTCCACAAGTGCTTGCTTACTTTATTTTTATTAAAATATATGCTTGACATTGCACCTTTGTGTATAACAACACCTTCCTGGGATTGTCAAGTTAGGAGTGAAAAAGCCATCTGGCAGTCACAGTCAATTTTCTAGACAGTTCATAACAGGACTGTCAAGGTCAAACTGTTGATTCTTGCACCTTCCCATCTAGTAACTGAAAAGCAACGAATGCGAGCTCAAAATACTCCATTCTGGTACTCTCACAAACACAAATGTCAGCTCCAGGATCACACTCTGTCTCAAAAAGTTCTGCGGGCAGGCTGACATGAACAAAGAGAACAGCGGGGTAGTAGGGCAGATGCTAAGGCCACAGGACTTGGGTAACACTCAAAGAGAGTAGGAACTTTTACCTAGCAGTTTCATCTATCAAATGAGAATAATCATCCTACCAAATGACCATATGAATTAAGTGATATGATGAGGAATTGTCTTGCAATCTGTGCAAAAGTGAGAGACTACTGTTATCATTACTAATTATTACGGCTGGGGACGGAAGGTCCCCTCGAAATCTTGGCTGTATGTTCTGCAGGATCCCCTCAAGATGGAATAGATTATAGTTTTTTTCTCCAGACTTCGGGTGTGACAACGATTGACGCACTTGGCTAGCAAGTCTCCGCTGCTGAGAGATGAGAAGTGAGGCCTTCGGGTTCTGGGCCTAGCGGGTTCAACAACCACCGCGTCCCCCCAGTCACCTTGTCCTCACCTTGAGGAAAAGGAAACGAAACCCTATGTGGGAGAAAGTGAGGTCCACAAAAACGAGAAAGAGGTACCTCCACTCTTCACCTGGCCGCCGCTTCTTAGACCCAAGCTTCCAGCTGGGCGGGGACAGAACAGAGAGAGCTGACAGAACCAGGGACGCCTTGACCTCGGGCGCCGGAGGAGCGAGCGTGGGTGCTGGGCCCGCGACAGGGACAGGTACACGAAAAGCCGGCCGGAGGTCGGGCCTGCCTCGTCTTGCCTCGCCCACAGCCGCAAGCACAGGAGGAGGCACCCCGCCCCCGCGAACCCAGAGGGCCCTCAGTTCGCTCACCTGCAGCCGGGACACCAGTAGGCTGTAAGGCGCCATTTTGTGCACTGACAAAGATGAGGTCGCTTGAAAGTGACGTCCATTCAGAGTATTTAAAGCCTTCGGGCTGGGGGCGTGGCCTGAAGAGAAACGCGACCTCGTGAAGGCTGTGCCTCCGCTGAGGCGCTTACTTCTGCGAGCGCCTTGGGCGGAGCTCCCGTGTGAGGACTCGAAAGGGGAGAGGACAAAAATACATAGAAACACTTAAGGAAGTAAATGCCGGGCACAGAAATGTCTTATCGAAGTGAAAATTTCACCTTTGCACTTTGCAGTTTGCCTCTTCCCTTCAAGTCCTGGAAAGGTTGTGTTTTTTTTTTTTTAACTTTCAGGCACCTGCCAGAACCTGGAACCCGTTAGGACGGAAACCTGACTTTGGAATTTGATCTCGCGAGAACCAGCGGGGCTTAGTCCAAAGAGTATAAACGCTGATGGATGTCTAGAGAACCAATCACCGCGACCAAGAGGCAGGAGCAACGGAGGTTAAAGGTCGGACGGAAGTTCCCTAGGCTTCCGGTGGCTTGAGAGGGAGCTATGGCTAAACATCATCCGGACTTGATCTTTTGCCGCAAACAGGCTGGTGTTGGTGAGGCAGCTTTCTGCCCCCGGCTGTCTGGGTGGGAATGGTATTAGGACCTGAGAGGTCCAGGGTTCTCATCACTTGCTTAGGGTCTTGACCGGGAGGCGCCACGTTTCCCGCCTCTCGGTTGAAAGTGTAGGAGCGCGCGGGTTTGCGGTCTTTGATGAAAAGAGGGCGGGGGCTCGCGTGCTGGGAGCTGGAGGCAGGCTGCCGGAATGGGGTTGGGAGAAATTCTCAGTTTGCACAGGACCTATGAGGGGCTTCAGGAGGCTGTGGATTTGGTTCGGATTGAAGTTTAAGGGGATAAATGGATAGATCCCCTCAGGGCCCACTGCAGTCCCTGCTCCTGTCCCCACCGCAAGCTTGAGGATGTTTGTCCCCTCTTCGTCCAAACTTTAATCCTAATTGTGCTCTTTACCATCTTTTATCTTGCAGCCATTGGAAGACTGTGTGAAAAGTGTGAGTGGAACACGCCTCCCCGAAGAGCCCACCTGGCCCACTCAGTTTCAGTAGAGCAAGCAAACGGGCATTTTCAGCGGTGGCACTAAGAGGGCTTTGAGTAGACGTGACCCGAAGAATGTCAACACAATGCCAGGCTGCAGCTAAAGGCCACCCCCCTCACTCCAGCTTGCACGTTTTAGACACTAGGTTTTGAGAGAATCTTTAGCTTTGGACTGGAAGTAGCGTGATCCTATCCCTGATATATACAGTGTTCTGCCAAATAATTTATATAGACGTATCTACCAGGTGCTTCTCTAAGCTCTTTACCCAGTAGTTGATTAACTTTTACTGTGTGTTGTAGAGATTGAGATGGACACGAGGTAAGTCAGGTTTTGTGATGTCAAAGTAGAGGGTCCACAAGTCACTGTTAGGAGACTGGTGTAGTCCCCATAGCAGGAGGAGGGCAAAGGACTTGAGGTACTTGCACGTGGGTGTAACTCCATTCTCTCCTCCTCATAGGTGATGGCAAGTGTGTGATCTGTGACTCTTATGTGCGTCCTTGCACCCTGGTGCGCATATGCGACGAGTGTAACTATGGCTCTTACCAGGGACGCTGTGTGATCTGTGGAGGCCCTGGAGTTTCAGATGCCTATTACTGTAAGGAATGCACCATCCAGGAGAAAGATGTGAGTATATATAGGAAGCTTTTCATCTGATCTTACCTTGTGTTTAGTAACACTTTGCCATCCACAGCAAACTGTATGGTCTCTAGATGAGTATGTTCGTTTAGTCATCTAGGTTATAATTTCTTCAATGTCTGTGAGCCAAACTGGGTGTAACCCAACAAAGGCAGTTATTTTGTATCAAGGACAAAAGTGCAAGAGAAGCAAATTTTGGTCAACACTGGCAATTTGGAAAGCCCTCTATTCCTTTGATGTCTCTCTCGTTTTTATTCACAAACAATATCCTTTTTTTTTTCTTAAACTGTGCCACATAGCTTACAGGATCTTGAACCCTGGCCACGGCAGTGAAAACCCAGAATCCTAACCATTAGGCCATCAGGAAACTCCCAATATTCTGCATTTTTAAGTCCTAGCATGGTGCATGGTGTATAGTAGCCATTCAGTAATTCTCTTTATTATCATTAAGGACTGTGTGGGTGGATGTGTTGACTTCTGAATTTGGGACTATTCAAGTTTATTTCAGGTCTGAGTAGCTAGAGAATACTTTTGCTTTGATTTTTCAGAATTGCTTGGGATTCTGCGTGTGACATTTTTGCCCCTTAACATTGTATGCTGGCAATGGCAAATTATTCAACTCCTTGAGCCAGTTTCCAGGATACAGTAGAGAGCTATAGATCTGTACCAAAAACAGGCTTTTTGGAGGAGGGGAGGACAACCCATGAATCACCTTTTATTCTCCTTATGACAATAAAACAAAGTGTGATACAGTACCAGTAGGCTAATATGAGGTATCTGGTTACCTAATCTAGGATAAGACATAAGGCAAAAAAGAATAAAAAATTATTTGGCCATGCTGGGCAGCTTTGGGGGTCTTAGTTCCCCAGCCACAGATGGAACCCAGGCCCCCCACAGTGGAAATGCAGAATCTTAACCACTGAACTGCCAGCAAATTCCCAAAAGATAAATAATTCTTTATATTTCCTTTTACAAATAGTAGATAATTTTACTTACAAACACACACACACACACACGGCTTCCCTGGTTGCTCAGATGGTAAAGAATCTGCCTGCAGTATGAGAGACTCAGGTTCATCACAGGTGCAATCCCTGGGTCAGGAAGATCCCCCTTTTATATAGATGTTATCTCCCTTATTCTTCAATAGCTTTATTAATTAGGGGTTATTATTATCCCCATTTTACAGCCCCTCTCCCAGCTAATAAGTGGCAAGTCCAAGCTTTCTGACTAAACTTCGTGGTGTCCTTTCATAAGTCTGATGTGCCTGTGTTGAAGAGAAACGGTTCAGCCACCTCCGAATCTTTGCAGTTAGATTTTTTCTACCTGTAATAAGTGGGACATATTAGAGCAGATAAACCTATTTCTTACACCATTAAAGTCTTCTGTTATTTAGGGAGATGAAAACGGTCATAGATAAAGTACCAGAAACATAATTTCAGTTGGTGATTTGAACATTCTCTCTCTTTTGGGGGGCTGCTCTGGGTCTTGTGGTGTGTAGGGTTTGTTGCTCCAAGGCATGTGGGATCTTGGTTCCCTGACCAAGGATCAAACCCATGTCCCCTGCATTGCAAGGTAGATTTTTAAACACTGGGCCACCAGGGAAGTCCCCGATTTGAACATTCTCTTACCCTAAACTCTGATTTGCATTTATCTTTGACTGTCAAATCATACCTTGCTCAATCTGACCCACCAGCTAGGTTATTCTCCCTATAGAGAAAGGACTTTGGTTTTTTCATTTGTCTCCCTTTTTCTCTAGTTTTTGGTATGCTGCTGCTGTTTAGTTCGCTAAGTTGTGTCTAACTCCTTTGTCACCCCGTAGACTGTAGCCCCACCACCAGGCTCCTCTGCCCATAGGATTTTCCAGGCAAGAATACTGGGGTGGTTGCCATTTCCTCCTCCAGAGGGTCTTCCTGAACCAGGGATTGAACCCAGGTCTAAGTCTGGTCCACGTCTTTGTGCTACTCCTGTAAATCATCTGTAGGAGCTCCCCCTAGAAAGTGTCCAGTACACAGTAGGTGTTGGGTGATTATAGTCTGTACCATGGTGAGACAATATCAATGAAAAAAAGTACAAGCAAGTCTTAAACTGGCTAAAACTAGCCAGAGTCTATTAAGGACAACACTTTCTTGAACTTTTCCATGACTGTAGCTAGAGTTCTTATCTGATACACTTACAACCAGAGAGTGCTTAATAAAGGTTAATTGCTGTCTGATTTGTCTGCATGTGGTGTGTGACCTGATCTCTCTGGATCCTTGTACCTCATTCTAGATGTCACCACTTCCCTTACTTCACATTATACAGGAATGTTCTGAGGATATTTGAGATGGCATCTAGCTCGCGTTTACTCAGCAATAGTTTCCAAGGAACACAAAACAGTCCAGTGACATGATCCAGCCTCTCAGCCTTACAGATCATGATATAGATTAAGTACCCAAGACTTTCCTACACACAAATCTTCCTACAGCCAAAGGAACCCCTCTTATTGTTCTCTTCCAGCAACTTCCATAATTTATAAGGGAATTAGCCCAGTAAGCTAAGTTAGGTGTCCCTATAGTTTTTTCAAAGCCTCGAGAATACGCAGGGGTCAGGGACAATATCTGTGGGCACTGCTGCCAAAGGACCAATTTGTAGCTTCTTATAATGTGGCATCTTATTGATCTCCCTTCACCCTTGACTCCTTTTACTTAACCATTTTCCTCAACTCTCCCAACCAGATAACAAGAAAAATAGCAACTAGTATTTTTGGAGCTCTTGCCGCATGCCGGGTACTGTATTGGTCATTCTTGTCTAAAAGTTGTGCATGATACTCTGGTTTCTCTTCAGATCGTACAAATCTTTCGTCTTTTACTAAAGATTTCCGTGGAGAGGAACAATTCTGAGTCTTAAACCAATTTTTTGAATTGTTAAGCAAATCTGTACACAAAAATAAAACTATAAAAATAAAAGTTGTGCATGATACAGATGAGGAAACGAATGGCTTAAAGGCAGGTTTGGCCCAGGGTCACATGATGAATAAATGGCAGATACGGGATTAGAACCCAGGTCTCTGTAACTCTTTCTCAGCCTTTTTTTTTTGGTGGTTGTTTTTCATTATCGCCCCTCCACTAAAGGAGAAAGGTTAAAATCCAAATTAAATTTTCTTGGACCACTTGGTGGTCCAGTGGTTAGGACTTTGTGCTTCCACTGTAGGGGACACAGATTCGATCCCTGGTTGAGGAACTAAGATCTTGAATGCTGAAAAACTTTATTTACATATTCTCTACAAGAGGAATTAAAGTTGGATAAGATTTTGTTGGGTAAGGGGGAGCTTCAGATCACAAACCACTGTAATGTCAAAGATATTTTCATCCTTATTGAAGATGCATCATCTAACTCAAAGCACTTACCCTAAACACTCATCGTATTTCTCTTCTCAAGGTGGTTAAGGATGCGCCTCTCTGTCTCATGCTACGTCTACCATTCTCTTCTCCCCATTTAAGTAAACAGCAGAGCAGTTAGATATATAGAAAAGATACTTGATATTTTTCAAAGGTAATTCACAAGTTAACCCTTCTCTGCAACTTCCTAAACCTTGTGAAAGTTTTGGGGTTTGCCTCCAGGAAGCTCTGTTACAAAAAAACACCAGAGGAGGAGGTAGAAAGCCCAAGTTCAGGTCTTGGCTTTGCTACTGATACTGTGTGTGGCTTTGAGGAAATCTCAGCCTGACCCCCAGCCCACAACGGGTACTAGTAATCCCTTTTACCTCCTGGATACATTTACTGAGAGCTTAAAGTTTCAAATAGAAAATGTGATGCCCTTGTTAAGGTCTCAAACCAGTGTACAGTCTGGTTTTTACCTTGTAGGTATTCATTAAACAGTTGCTGGAAGAATCAGTGTTTCACCTTCTAGTTTCTGTTAATCAAGCAGGTCTTGCCTGCTGTTGGTAATTCTTTGCTACCGATTATAAGAAATGGACATGTGGACCCATTTGCTGTAATCCTGTTTTTCTGATCTCAAAATTTGTAAATTGCTTTTTCCTGCATTTTGGTTCTGTACACATTTCCCCATGGTATGTTATATTTTGGTACATGATCAGTGTTGGGGTTTTTTTTGTTTTTTTTTCTTCAGTGTTGGTTTTTTAAGTATTACTTTAAAGTCCTGGATTTTCACCAGGTCCAGGTCCAGGGTAATTTTTGTAGCTTTTGTGCCATGGAAATGGACTTGATGTTCAGCCCTCCTCAGGAAGGAAATCCATAGGCATCGAGTTCTCCTTGGTGGAGCCCACCTTAGGCTTCTCCTGGGGATGTTTTAGGGGCTTCCCAGGTGGTACTAATGATAAAGAACCTGCCTGCCTATGCAGGAGACATAAGAGACTCAGTTCATCCATGAGTCAGAAAGATCCCCTGGAGGAGGACCCAGCAACCCACTCCAGCATTCTTGCCTGGAGAATCTCATGGACAGAGGAGCCTGGCAGGCTACAGTCCATGGGGTCACATAGAGTTGGACACAACTGAACTAACCTAGCATGCACACGGGGATGTTTTAATGGACATATTTAGTGTAATGGAAAGAAGCACTTGGCAGTCTAGTGTCTACTTTTTTGTGCATGAAATTTTATAAGTTAAGTGGCCATGCAACATGTACATTCAATTCAAGCTGTAGCTGCCTAAAATAAAAGCTCGCTGTGCTCAGAATGGGGAAATCTGTTACCCCCTTGGAGGACTGAGAAAGGCTGAAATCTGTCCTCAGGCACACAATTGCTAAAGGAGCTCCTGGCACCAAGCAGACATTTGCAGGTTGTTTTTAATATACTCCCCAGCTCAGCTCACAAGTACTCTGTACCATCCTTCACGGTTTTCTTAAACATTTTCATTTTCATGGTCTCCGTTGACAGCCACATTCACAAAAACTAGCCAGTGCACACATCCTTACTTCTCACAGTATTGTTAGAATTTGGAAACAACCACTGGACCCACAGGATATGTACAAAATAAAAACAGGAGTTTAGGCAAGAAAATAGAAAATTTATATAAGTCAGTGAGAGAGAATGCCATAAAAACCAAAGAGCTAATAATCTAAAACATTGGTTTTCCGTTGTTTTTTTCAGCTTTTTAATATGTGAAGTCTTATCTTCAAAAAGTATCTTATTCAGAAGCCATGTGTGTGGGTGTGTTAGGTTGGACCATTATGAAATTGCTGCTATTTGTTTTGGCAATTTCTTATAATTTATTAAAGGCTGGTTATATGCCAGGTATTGTTCTAATAAGTACATTTATTGATTCTTAACTCTGTAAGGTAGGTTCTACCATTATAGTAATTTAATATGACTAAAAAGAGACAGAAAGGGTAGTAACTTCTCAGAATTCAGGTGGCCTGTCTCCAGAGCCTATAGTCTTAATATGAATGAGAAGAGAGTTGCACAGATCGGGGGAAGAGTCCTGCAGCCACCTGGCACCTCTTAGGACTCTCTAGGGCTCTATAAATAACAGTTTGTAAGCATTGACCTCATCCAGTCATCTTGTTTTATAGTTGGATATGAATCCAGACAGAAGTGGTTTGCCCAGTCATGCAAGTCAGTGAGGCATAGTAAACCTGAACAGGCTGTCATCATACCACAAAATTTCATAGCATCCCTAAAGGGCTTAGAGCACTGTCGTGTCTAATAGCAGACTATCTTTGGTCAGGAGAGGCAGTTCTTCTGACATTTGTACCAAGATTCCCAGTACAGATTACGTGGCTTACTTGAGTTCACCTAGCACCTAGCATTGGTGGGGCTGGGCTCCCCACAGCCTGGCTCCCTCAGCACACTGAGCTCCACAGACGGTAATTCTCAATGTAATACATGGTACTGGATTGATCAAAAAGTTCTTTGGGTTTTTCCATTACTTTTTTTTTTTAGTTTATTTTTGGCCGTGCTGGGTCTTCACTGCTGTGCACAGACTTTCTCTCGTTGCAGCAAGTGGGACTTGCTTTTTGTTGTGGTGCATGGGCTTTTCATTGCAGTGGCTTCTCGTTGCAGAGCACAGGCTCTAGGCGCGGGGGATCAGTACTTGTGGTACAGGGGCTTAGTTCCCACCCAGCATGTGGGTTCTTCCCAGATCAGGGATCAAACCGGTGTCCACTGCATTGCACGGCGGGCTCTTAACCACTGGAAGAGGCACTTAACCATGTTGCTTTGAACCACAAGGTGGGCACTTCCCCACCAGGGAAGCCCCGCAGTAACATCTTTGCAGAAAAACCTGAAGGAACTTTTTGGCCAACCTATACATGTTTTCTAGAAAATAATGAAATGTTAGTGTTGGCTTTGTGTCTTTTCAGAGATTTTTTTTACAGTGTTGGTATTAGTCCCCCAAAAGAGAAATCAGCTGAATTAGAAATAAGATGTCTGAGGGCTGGACTCATTCCTTTATTCATTCCATAGCCCAACGTCAAGCAACTACCTTTGACATGAACGTTTAATAAAATCATCAGATCTATGAAGGCTTCTTCCAGTAGCAGTTCCCCCAGTTTTCCTCTCATCATCCCAAATCAACTGATGGAGCCATCATCCCTGCAAAACACAGTTTCCCAGGGGCTTCACTGAAACCACTCAAGCTCACAATATGGCCAGGGAAGCCTGACATTACAAATCAGAGTATGGACTGTCAAAAGCGATCTCTAGCACAGAAGCACTCTTCTCCCAAGACCATGTGTCAACTTAAGTGAATTAATAAGGACACATCAAACTCAGTATTTATTTTTTGGGCCACAGATCATGTGGGATCTTAGTTCCCCAATCAGGGATCAAACCCATGCTCGATTCATTGGGAGCACAGAGTCTTAACTATTGGACCATCAGGGAAGTTCACCTTAAAAAGTTTTAGATTTTGCCTCCACCATATCATATTAGCAACAGAAATGGGTTAAGAATCCAGCATTCTAAGTGCAGACCGCTGGATAGATGGCAAATTCTAGGTGCTTAATAAATACTTGATAGATCAAATAGGATAACTGAACTGGTAAGATGAATGGCTAAACCATTAATCCAAAAGTTATTTTTATCTTAGTGTGAAAGTCACTGTCACATCTGACTCTTTGCGGCCCCATGGACTATATAGTCTATGGAATTCTCCAGGCCAGAATATTGGAGTGGGAGCCTTGCCCTTCTCCAGAGGATCTTCCCAACCCAGGGATCGAACCCAGGCCTCCCGCATTGCAGGCAGATTCTTTACCAGCTGAGCCACAAGGGAAGCCCAAATTTTTATCTTAGATTCCTTTCAATTCAAGCTCAGAGACTTTTAACAACTTTTCTGTTTTCCAGAGAGATGGTTGCCCAAAGATTGTCAATTTGGGAAGCTCTAAGACAGATCTCTTCTATGAACGCAAAAAATATGGCTTCAAGAAGAGGTGATTGGTGGGCTGCCTCTTCCTCCCCCCATCAAACTGCTGCAGCTGCCAAAAAAAATGCCTACTACTGCCAGCAGAAAGGAAGTGGAGCACAGAGCATCACCTGCATTGCCTATTAGTACAGGGCACCTTCCCACTGTTTCCTCTCACCTGGACCTGGTAGGAATGGAAGAAAGATTCTTCGCAGAGCACTCTGGCAGTTTTTCTGTCAGAAAAATTGATAGATTAGTTCATGGTATTCCTTAAATTCAAGAGGCAAGGATGTGTTATCCACATCAAGAATTTCTGTACACCAAAACCTTCTAAAACAGAAATAATATGTTATTTCCATCTTCTATTTGAGGAGTCGACTGTGAAGCTACCTGCAGTGAAAAGCGTGTTCTTGCAGAATCTCTGATGGCAGTTATCCTTGATAAAATATCTGCAGTGTGTGGGGGGCCAGCAGAACAATAATTGTGGGCATTTCATCTTGTAATCTTTACCAGGTGGTGCTGGTTCATGTTATTTTTCTTCTAAAAAATTGGAAACCCTTTCTCTTGCTGTTATATTAATAAAGTAGGTGTTTATTTTCTGGTAGTCAGCCCCTTCCCAATTTAATTTTAACTCTAGGATTTTAGTCACTCAGAAATTTGTGATTCAAAATAGAGGTATTGGGATTAACTAAGCACCTTATTTTCTTATTACTACTGCAACTCAAAACCACTCATGCCTTTTATGATAAGTAAACCAAAGTTATTTTTAGAAACATCACTTTTTCCTTCCTGCCCAACTTGAATTTTGAACTGAAGAGGTTGCTTCCAGTAATGGTGAAGGGAGTGAGACAAAATGTATTCAAATCAATGAGTTAGAAGAACTGAACTTGGTTGACTTTTTTTCATAAAGTGCACATATATACTCACATTAAGGATATAAGAGAGGGACCTCCCTGGTGGTTCAGTGTTTAAGCCTCTGCATGGAAGTGCAGGGGCTGTGGGTTCAGTTCCTGGTCAGGAAGTAAGATTCCACATGCCATGCTGCTGCTGCTGCTAAGTAGCTTCAGTCGTGTCCGACTCTGCGACCCGACAGATGGCAGCCCACCAGGCTCCCCCGCCCCTGGGATTCTCCAGGCAAGAACACTGGAGTGGGTTGCCATTTCCTTCTCCAATGCAGGAAGGTGAAAAGTGAAAGCGAAGTCGCTCAGTCATGTCTGACTTAGCAGCCCCATGGACTGCAGCCTACCAGGCTCCTCCATCCATGGGATTTTCCAGGCAAGAGTACTGGAGGGGGTTGCCATTGCCTTCGCACATGCCATGAGGTGCGGCCAAAAAAAAATAGGATGTGAAGGGATGTGTGATTTAAGTAAAATCAACTTTAGATGTATCCTACCCTAACTCAACCATCTGTACTTTTTGTCTGCTAGAGGCAATAAGCAAGTTATCCAGAGGAGGCGTGTTCATAATTGGAGACTTCCAGTCCAGTAAGCCTTTAAGAGCATGAATTTGAAAGAGCTTGTGAGTCCTGCAGAATCCAGGGACCTGGCCCAAGGTCCCATTGCAACTTAGTGGCAGAACCAAAGAGATGAGTCTTCTGACTTCTGTTTTGTCTTGGATACTTGCTTATTCATGATGTATTGAATGTCCAAAACAGAATTTAGATAATTTCTGCCTTCAAAGAATTTAGTGATTGAGCTTAACAGAAACAGCTCAGTGCAACTCAGGGGCTGCACAAAGCAGGGGCCTAGCGAGAGGCACCTCAGGAAGGCTAGAGGAAGATCATAGCCCTAGGACTGCCATGAGGGCGCCTTTCAGTTCCCCAAACCTGCTTTCCCTCCTGCCTCTGTGCTCTTTACCTGTAAAGCTCTGTTCTGCTTCTGCTCAGCCAACTGCTACTCATCCTTCAGACCTTAGCTAAGGGTTTCCTTAAAGATGCCTCGTTCAGCCCCCAGTCAAAGTCCCTCTGTCATACTCCCACATACCCCCATGAGCATTTTGTCTCTAGCATTTGGTAATATTGACTGTCATCTATAAGGCTGTGTTCCATGATGGCAGGAAACAAGTCTGTGTGCCCAGCATGTAGCAGGTACTCAGTGTTGAATGAATAATTGGTCATAGAAACCAGGTATTAAACTGGGCTTTGAAGGCCATATTGGAACCTCCCAGCAGAGGGGATGGGGTCTGCTGATAACGGACATTTTTGTGGGGGAAACAAACAGTTTGGACAGGGTGATGTGTTTGGGGAGCTCTGAGCAGTTTTAAAACATCAGGTGAGGGTTATGGTATATCAAAAGTTGTAGAGACCAGGATACTTTCAGATTATAACTAGAATCTGTCACTGATTCTAACTAGTTAGTAACTAACTTTAGTTTTAAAGTGTAATATTAAGTCAATGTTTGTTTTACTAAACAATTTTTGAAGTTTGTTCATTGGGACTTCCCTGGCAATCCAGCAGTTAAAACTCCATGCTTCCAAAAACAAAAAAACAAAACTCCATGATTCCAATGCAGGGGACTCTGGTTTGATCCCTGGTCAGGGAATGAAGATCCCACATGCCTTGAAGTATGCCCCCCCCCCCCCAAGAAAAATTTATTAACCACCTTGGTCCATGTAACATCTTGCATCTACAGGTGTTTGAAAAAGCTACTGCTTAGTTTTAGCAAAACACCACCTTACTGTGTTCTGTGAGCTTCAGTGTATATACCTCTAAAAGGTCTTGCAAGGGAGCTTAAATTTTAATGCCCAGTGAGATTTCCATACTGATCAGTGATAGGCAAGTTCAATCTCAGCCCAGTGAATTTTGCTGAATGCTGTTCCTCTGTCACCTAATTTCACAATCCCATTCTCCATTTGCTTGCTGTCTGAGACCAAAGGATACAAGTAAGTTAAGAACCTCTGGTGGCTTAAAACACTGTGCTTCCAATGCAAAGGGCCTGGGTTCAATCCCTGGTCAGGAAACTAGGGACCAAATGCCCATGAAAGTTAAAAGTCCTTCCTACTGCAACTAAGCGCTGGAGCAGCCAAAAATATATATATTTTTAAAAAGACCATCTTATATAAACGGTGTTCAAGTCCTTAGTTATTGTCTACCTTGAACCTTAGAGTAAGTCTTTTTCAGTTTTAAAAATCAGAATAATGACAGTATTAAATTCTCTGTTGAGAAAACATTACTTACAAACTGAATTTTAACCTCTAATTGTATATAGTTGGAAAGAATTAGAATAATAATCTCAGACAACTGTATTGCCACAAAAAATCAGAATGGTCTTTTAAAAATTACTGTTTTTCTCATTTGTTGAAGTAACCACTACTTATACAAGTCTAGTTGAAATAACTAGATTTATTATAGTCAGTCTAAGAAAGCCATTTCATTCCCCAGGTATATGATTACTGTTAAGTATTCAGTGTTTAATACATTCATTTCTAGGATCTAAAAAGGGTGAGTGTCTTGCTTCTAGCTTCTCAAATAGCTTTGTACACATATGGTAATTTAATCTCCTTTAAAACATCACACTTATTACATTGCTCTTGCTCAAAAAAAAAAAAAAAAATAGTGTAATGAGAAATGCCTTGTCTTTATTATCAGTCCTGTATTTGAAATTGATCTGCTACTGATCTTTAGTGAGGCTCTGGGGGCATTTTTTTCTTATCTATTAAATAAGGACATTAATGCCTCCCACTTTGGTTTGTAAGGATTAAATTTGACCTGGTAAATGCCTGACCCTTACTGGGAAGGCTTTACTTTTTTCAATGGTAATTCTTACAAAGGGTCTCTGCTTCATAGATAAACATTTAAGTCCTAGCATTGAAGGTCTTCCATATAGTTCCCCCTCTTCCCTACCCCTCAGGTTTTCCTCTATTCATGAAGGGAATTCCTCACACATACCCCATCTTTTTGGCTCCCTATTTCCTTTGTTTGAAATACCATTCCACTGTCACATTATCCAGCCAACTCTGTGCCTTTTCTTTCTAAGCTCCTAACATATGAATGCTGCCAGATGCACCATACCCTACAACAATCTCTCACTTGGACTACTTTCACGCCTGGTACATATGTATAATAGAAACCAAAATTTAATGAAATATTTACCCTGTGTACAGGATTTTCCAGTATTTTTCAATTTATTCTGTTCTTAAAAAAGAACACCTAGAAAAAGTACTCATAAATACAGGTGTCTGGGTGAGTAATATAAGTGATTAAAAGGGAGGGATGGGAGACTTTCTTGGTGGTCCAGTGGTTAATCCACCTTCCAGTTCAGGGGACACAGGTTTGATCAGAAAACCAAGAGCCCAAATGCCTCGCACCACAAGTACTGAGCCCTCACTTAGAGAACCTGTGTGCCTCAACGGAAGATCCTGTGTGCTCGAAGAACCAACACAGCCAAATAAAAGGGGAGAGATGGGACTTCCCTGGTGGTCCAGTGGTTAAGACTCCACCCTTCCATTGCAGGGGGCACAGTTCAATCCCCAGTCAGGGATCATCCTGCATACTTCATGGTACAGGGGAAAAAAAGACATGGGAGGGATGTAAGAAGAGCAGCCCAAACATGTTGGTTACTGGTATATGGCACTGGGCCTCAGTGTCTGGGGGACAATGGGGAATCTAGGAACCTTGGAACCAGAGAGCACAGGCCCTGTCTACAGGGAACAGTCGCTATTCAACTGAAACAATCGCCAGCTTGAATGCCCAGTGTTACCATATCTTTTGAATTTTAGAACAAGTGACAAGACATTTTTGTATAACCTCTCAACTTTTAAGTGTTGTCAACTCATTTCAAAAATTGTAGGGGCTTCCCTGGTGGTCCAGTGGTTATGAATTCACCTTGCAATGCATGGGAACCTGGTTCGATCCCTGGTCTGGGAAGATCCCACATGCCATGGAACAGCTAAGCCCGTGTGCCACAACCACTAAGCCTGAGCTCTCGAGCCAGGGAGCCACAACTACTGAAGCCTGAGCACCTTAGAGCCTACGTCCTGCAACATGAGAAGCCACTGCAATGAGAAGTCGGAGTGCCCCGACTCACCACAGATGGAGAAAGCCAGAGCACAGCCACAAAGACCCAGCGCAGCCAATTAAAAAAAAATTTTTTTTAATGTGTCAGTATATGCCAAGGCAATAGATCCACCACATGTTGACCTTGGCCTGCAATTGGCAGCTTCTAAATTAAGAAAACTAACTTCCCAGGGAATCAAACTCAACTAAATCTCAAAGAGATTGTATGTCACTAAATTTTGACCTGTAGTTCTTTAGAGTTTTGAACCAAGGACATAAAGGTGAAAGATTCTTTGCCTTGGAATTTTCCTGCCTTAAAAAAAAAAAAGGTTCCAGTTTCCATCTTTTGCCAGTTATTTAGTTCCTTATCAACTATATCCCCAAATGGCCTGCCTGCCATCACCAAGGCTAAAGTGATACTTTCTTTGGACACTCTAGTTTTAGTGTCTTAGCCAAAGACAGGTTTGTTCATTTACCTCCTTTACTAGAGGTAAATGAGGTCAATAAACAGCCTATCATTTGCCCTCAGCATCCATCCAATCACTCTTCTCCAAAGTTAATTTCTGTTGTGGCTGTCTTTGTTCCTGCCCAGTTGGAGCAATGGATCTGAAGAATC